AATTATTTCATTGGAGAATTCCCTGGACTACATGAGAAAAATACTGTGGAATACTTTATTTTCGCTGAAATTAATTTTCACTGAAAAGGCTTTTTGGGCGTTTTGTATGGAATTTATTTTCACTGATTTTTGATGAGTTTAATGTGAAATATAGGAAAAAAAGTATATTCGCTGGATTTTATTTTCACGAAATCATCAGTGAAAATAGCGAAAATAAATTCCAAGCGAAAATAAAGTATTCTACAGTACCAACTTTAATTGGTAATAAAAAAAAAAAAACATTCAAGTTAATACTTTACATATTAATTAACTGAGAGACGTGAATTACATCATGAAACACTCAGACACTTCAATTATCACTTAGGCCAAATTGAAAAAGTATGTGTGGTTTGAATAGCCCTACTCTACCTAAAATTAATAGGCTATCCAACACATTTGTTGGCCAAACATGAAAAAACTGAATTTTGGCCAAATGTTAAAGAAATTACTATAAACAACATATGAATTTTGTTAAGTAATTAGCTGGCTAGCCCAAAGATATAATGAAGAAATTTAAAAAAAAAATGAAATCTTTTGTACGGTAGGTTATCAGAACCAAACAATTTTTTGGTTTGCCCACAAAAATTACATTAATTGTACGCTGAATCATTTAGATGTGACTTATTTTGAGCATACAACATCTGTAGATACATATATAAGCATATACACAACAGGTAAACGAGAAAATACAGTAATTTAATTTAAGTCAGTATAGCTTACATGTAGCTGCCAGGCAATAAACACAATTCCTAAAGAGCAAGAACGTATTTTTATTTATTATTTGAATCAGTTGTAAATGGAAAGTATGCACCTATTGTTTATAAAATTAACAGTTGGTAAATAAGCTCAAAAACAACAACAAACAATAGACTGAGGATTAAGCAGTGTCATAGGGAGTTAAGAAAGATGCCTTTAAAAATATTCTCGTTCTACAATAAGTTTACGGTGATTATGTGGGATTGATATTTGTGGATGACAAAAGTGGACTGGTGCTCAAAAGGTTTAATTAAAGATGATACCTAAACAGTACACTGTAAAGTCAAATAGATAAATACACTCAGGCAGTGAAGCAATTGAAATTCACCAGACGCTTTGTAATATAAAATAAAAGAAGTTCCGTCACAGTGGCTTGAAACCAATTGTAGCATCTTCTATAACACAATAAAACAAACTATGCAACCCAATGTACCAAGGTATAAATCTACCTGTCGAGGTGAAACACAAATGCAGCAATTTGCTAGGAATGCTTGACTTTGCGGCAAACAAGAGTCCTACTTCATTAATCTTTATTGCAAGCCGCACTCCTAATAGAAGCCATACCCATTCATTTTGAACAATTGAGAACCAAACTTTCACCATTTCTCAGAAGAGTGTAGAAGTTCTAATAGAAGCTGCATCTGTTGCATTGTATTTTAAAAAGAAGCCACAAATTCTATACAAATTTTACAAACTTGCATTTTTGCATGTTATTGTGTGCTTGTGATTCAATGCACCAAAAGTCGTCTTAACACATCATGTTCAATCTGGCTTCCTTCCATGTGAAATATATAACACATGCAATGTACATTTATACTAAATATGCACTGCACAATTTGTCAAACATGCTGCTTTAACCACTTCATTTTTGTGATACTTCGTAGTTGAGAGAGTACACATTTTCGAGGTTAGATTTGATAAAATTGCCTTAGCATACCGGACATCAAATAATAAAATGAAATATCAGTATTTTTTAAAGACAAACTCGTTGGGCATCAATGCTAATGCTTACTAACTGTTAGTGTTAATTATTTCTTAAAAATTTGAAAAAAAAGCCTTTCATATAGACACATTTGTGTACCAATCATAAATTCAGTAAAAGAATACACATGCAGTTCAAGACCAATGTATTCAGGAATATGATATAATATATATCTAGAGATTGACGATCGGCTTAACTTAATCTTAATCATTATCATTAATCTTAATCATTATCATCTAGTAATCAATGTATTTTGTACTAAAGCATAGATTAGCGTTGTCAACAACAAATACATGTAGCTGACAAGATAAAGTGCATATAAACAATGTCAAGAAACTTTGGTTTAATGTTAAATGTTTCACCAAAACAGTTACCCGGGGTAGGTACTGAAAAATATCGCAAAATTTCCACCACCAGAAATGCTCATAATTTGATGAAGTTTGTAGTCCAAGACTTCATGAAAGTCATCCTGTCAAAAGAACATTACTGGCTACTGAAATTGATAAACCAATGATTAATATGAGGAGCCCTTCTATGATGTATATTGGTGATGCTAAGTGATTCAAAGCAACGATAGCTGAACGACATTGTTTTCTCTCATATAAACGTCATTTTGACGACACAAAACTTATAAGAAAGCTGCTTTCAGTAACGCATAAATGTTACTCTAAGGATTATGTCATAGATTCATTGATTCTAAATGATTCACTGCTCTGAAGTTCATCAATAATACATTTTCCCACAGCAGTGTAACAATTCATAGACGACCACCATTTGGGACTAAAATAATTTTTGTAAATTCAATTGTCAAGGGAGTTAATTTTTAAAAGAATAAGGGCAGTTTTACCAGTTTAGTCACTGAATACCAATTGTGTTTATTTAACCTTTTTGGTACACAAAATAAGCATGCAACATTTTTTTTGTTCAACAATGGGAAACAAATTAAGCTTTGGAGGCTAATGAGTTAGTACCATTGTCAGAACAATGTATAGGGAGCTAGCCTACTAGCGTTAGGGGGTCACAATACTGACACTTGGCATGCCTATAAATAAATATTAGCATCGTATAGTTTCATCCCATATACTAATGAAATTTTAAAAGATGCAGTTTCCAAGCTACTTAAAATGGGTGTACATATAAGTAGGCCAATTGTCAGTTGCTTTTTTTTTTATCAGTTTCTATATGTTTTCACACTTTCTACAGTGCAGCGCCACCTTACCTAAATATCTCTGTATTACCTTAATTCTCTGACTCCTTTACTTTATGTAATATTCGTTTTGATTAATTCAGATTATCAGTTTTTTTTTACTGTAGACATTTTCAAGTGGTATCCCACAACACCAGCTGAGACAATCAAGGTCTATGTATGTTACAACTGAGAGAAGGTCACAAAGTCAACCATTGGCTGTGAAATTTCATGAATTTAGATGATTAATTAATTAATCAATATAAATTTATTAGTAAATTTGCCTTTTTTATCGCAGCATTTTTAGTTAACCCTTTGAACCAGATGCCCGAAGCAGAGTTTGATACTTTGATCGGATGTGAATTGTTACAGCTAACTAATTCCACACATATGGTATTACAGCTTTTCCAGGCTATACATACCCTGGTGCAGGGATTATATAGTATAATATATCAATAATAATAATACGAGTTGAAAGCTGTGTTGAGTATTATACTAATAAAACCACACTCTATACAGAGACTACGTGTAGTTGAGACCGTAGCTTCAGGTCAGCCATGTTTCTAAAATGGCAGAAACCGATATGTATATATTAATTAAGTTGGGTTATATATTGGCACTGTTACATCTTTTACTGTCTATAATCACATGGCAAACAGTTTTTAAAAGAGATGAGCTTGAGGCACATGCAAGGCACATACATGTATGGAATTTAACACAAATATTCAGTACACACACAACTTTATCAGCATTTATAAATCATAATTTTATCTAGCACTGAAAAAAAAATTGACACATTTGACAGTATGTGCATGGTAAACTGCTTTAAACGAAGAAAATTATTTTTGAATATTTGCACCGAATCTTTCTACTTACGAGCCATCTAATTAATTGTCCAAAATACCTGTATTGTGGATGATCATAAACTTTAAATTACTACATTATAGTTTTTGGGATATTTACTTTAAAAATTTTAATTACACCACAAGTAGCTGCAGAATGCAAAGTACAATATTGATACAACAGCACAGTAGGATCTAATAATTAACAGAACTACTCAAACTTTAAAGTGATAGTGTTTGAGTGTTCAAGCACAATGTAGAAGTCTCTGTCAAAATGGCGAAGTGTTAAAACAAATGAGTAAAACATGGTTCACCATGATGAAGCCAAATATTAGATTTCTATAAGCAGGGATTTCGTTAAGAGCAGGCCGCCGGCCATATGTCTACTCTCTGTCCCCTCGACAGCCTACACGGGTCTCGCTGATGCGCTTTGCAATGCCGAAATCCTTTTTAATTTATTTTTTGGGCCTGTTGTTACAGGATGATGGCCTGCTATGGAATGCATTTGTGAAACCCCTGTATATGTACAATGTTCATGTATGCTTATAATTTGTATTGGCTTGAAATTGAGTGACAGCTATACCACACACTAATATTTCTGGCAGTTATTCTGCAGTGAGCATCAAAATGGTTTATTGGATCTGAACTTATAATCTATAGTTATCAATTGCAGGACTTCAAAGTTGAGAGGAAATCCCATTTTCAAGGTCAAACTTGATAAACCACACCAAGGCAAACAAGATGGGCATTGAGACAACTGCCTTTGATGCCTCTCAAGTTCAAGCCCTGGGATTGGATCGTTCTCTTAGGGAAAACAGCATGCCATCATTAATTTGAATAGCAATATTGTATTGTTAATCACTCTATTGTAATTATTGTTATACTAAGTGAGCCTTATTGTTTTATGTAAAACTAGAGTAGGTGACCCCCATTTTAAAATGCTCTAAGGAAACTGAGATTATAGTTAACACACTGACTGCTAACGCCTTTAAAAAAAAGTTTTTCCTCATTCATTTTGCCGATCCGTAGTGGCTTTCAGCAGCCGATGTATTTTAACTTATAAGAAACCCACAAGAATGCTGAAATTTTTTTTTTACTGGAAAAATAAATAAATAATGACTCACCAGGTTTTTGATGTACCGCTTACTACCACTTCGCTGAAGACTACCAGCGTGTACTTGTTCATTGTCAAGGTGAAAGTCCCTGCCATCTAATCCAGAGCGTATGCTCAATTCACTCAATTCAGGAATTGGTTGGACTTTTAAGGTCACAGACTGTCCTGATTTACGAATCATGTCAACAATTTGATCACGCTGCACGTTTTCGACATTGGTGCCATTCACCTCTACTAAGCGGTCACCGGGTAGAAGGCCGGTGACGTTCTCCTTATTGGCGCCAGGCTCTGCAAAGTGGACATAACGCTTCACTTCTTTGTTTCCAGCTGCGTATCGTTCAACCAGCAGTGAACGCCGCAGCGAAAAACCATAGTCACCAGCTGGCTGTCGCTGAAGGATAACCTCACGAGAGCGAGGAGGTTTCGGTGGTGCAACTGCCGGCAATTGTAGATCCACATCGAAGGACTTTTCATTGAATATCTCTGCAATGGGTACAGTTTCCGGAATTGGATGTGGAATGTTAGTTTCACCAGTTCTCCCTGGAACATCTTGATTAAACAGCGTATTTTCAACCAACACAGTGGTGTCGTCTAACTTATCCTTGTCTGCGATTGTCACATAAGGAGGGGCTGGGTAACTGGATTTTCCTTTCAATATCCCGCGTGGCTTCGGAGCTGGTCTTGGTTTTACCCTTGCAATGGATGAACTTTTCACACCGTTTCGGATCTCTGGGGAAGGGGTGCTAGCTTTACTGGTGTTCTCTGACGGCGTAGAATTCAGACTTTGTTCACTACTACTGTATGCACCAAGAGTGCTACTGTCACTCGTTAAAGGCAAACTACTAACGCTAGACGTATCTGAGGTTGATTTTGAAGTTATCTCTGCTTTCTTTTTCCTCGTCGGGAACACTAATCCCCTCTTCAGTCCGACCTCCTCCAACCTACCTAATTCCTCGACAGTCAGTGCAGGTTGATCTAAGGATCGAGGCCGTTTGTCCCTTTTCGAACTCTTGTCCTTTTTTTCCTTTTTGACTACACCGTGATCTTTATCTTTCTTTCGACTGAACGAAAACATTTCGATCGATATCGCAGTAAATCGGTGAATAAAAATAATAATGTGTTACTTACGCACGTTTCAGATTACACAGTAGCCGCGCATCCGGTACTAGCTCTACAACAAGTCAGCGTCTTCGCCAATGTTTTGAATGGAAGTGTAGTTGCAATTGATCCTTCCGTGAGACAGTCACTTCCTGGACACACCCCTCTTTTAAGGGCTTTCACTGACAGACACACCTTAATCGAACAGTGGTCGGCCCGCAGTGTGTCAGATGAACCCTGGCCTGGTCGATCAATTTCTATTCTGGGAAAAATATTGATTTTCCCAGGAAATACAATTCTGCATACCGAGCAATCGACGAACTTCGAATTTACAAAATGGCGCCTACACATCCGGGACCGTTGGGTCACTCTACTACATTTTAGGATAAATTTTGAATAATAACGAAAACACGCTATGATATTGTAACATAGACTGCTTATTTAAGTTTAATAATATATTTGTAGTAATTGAAAAAAAATTGCACAAACTATTGCGATTAAATAGTTTATCATGTATGTGACTTAGTTTTCCCTCCATATCTATACCTGACGCCCCTGCTTAGATTCAAGTTTTCCAGTGTCGGACATTGACCTAAGTTCAATGTTTCAATCAGCTGAGCGAAATCCCCATTATGGTGTCTGCAGACACAAACAAACGTGAGTCTAGCTGCTTAGCTGTGACCTTAAAATTGTTAGTTTTGTCTTAGAATGCATTGTCGTGATTTTATGGTAAGGTATTTTGAGATCATGTCACTTTGATTTTAACATGCAGTTTACTGTTATGTTTTGCTATGAGCGAGTGTAGTTGTACAAGTTTCGCCACTTTTGTTTTCGTGTAGCTAAGTGTTTATCTTTGGTAGAATTACTTTCATATTTTACGGATATATAATTATTTAAAACTTCAGGCAATTCATGTTTAAAAAAATGCACAGTTCCAAGAAAATTTATATGAATTGAGCACAATTCATGTGAAACTATTGCCCAGTTGTGAAGCCATTTATCGCTTGAAACTAATGCCCAATTCGCGTGAAATTCATGTCCAATACGTGTGAAATTGATGTCCAGTTCATCTGAAACTTTTAAAGGGTGGTGGTCGTCGCGCTGCGCATATGTGACATTTGTGTTGATAAACATTGATTTTCCCACAATCCAATGCACTCTTCTAATGGAAATCACAAGTATGAGGCTTGACCTGGGTGCAACTTGCACTAATTACCACCGGGGACTCCTTCATTACCTTCCAATAACCTGAAAATACCCCAATGAAGCTTGGTAACGTCTCAGTTTGTACTCGTTGACCTGTGCAACAGTCAAAGTCGCCATCTTTGTTTATATGAGACCCATGTATCTCGCGATTACTGTCCTTTAAATGCCACATTCATGTGGAAATAATGTACAGTTTATTTGAAACTAATGCCCAGTTTATGTGTAAAACCGAAAATATGAAAAAAATAACCATTATAATAAGATTAAGTGAATTTGATTGTGAATAAATTTTCTGTTATATTTTATTGTTCAGCTGTAAACTTGCACAGTCTGTCTCTTGAGGGCGCTGTTACTTTAATACATGTATATCATTCAGGTTATTCAGAATTCATGACTAAAATACTGGAGTGAAGATCCTCAGCATTTTAGACAAATTTTCAAGAGAAATGTACAAACAAGTACTTTTTTTAACAGGCTTGTATTTCTGAAATGACAAGGTACCAATTTTCAAGGCAAAATTTGATAAATTAACTTAGCATATACAAATAGAATAGAGGGAATCTGCATTTTTCGAGGGCATCAACCCAAACTCCCTGGGCATTCAAGGCAGTTGCTTTTGCCTCCATGAAGTTCAACCCCTGGTTCATTAAAATATCTGTTAATGAAAAAATATTTAATTTCACTGGCAATTTAACTATTTTGACGTTTTGAGCAATTTCACTGGGTTTTAAGTTCACAAACTTGGCAGAGAAATGATGAGTTCTATTCTACAACTTCACATGAGTTTAATTTAACAAATTCTACTTTTCAGTGAAAATAGCGATATTAATAATTTAAGTGATAATTAATATATTTACAGTATATTTGTTGGGAGACATAGGGTGAACAACAAAGAAAATTTCTGTTGCTTCGTCTACCCACAGGCTTTAAGGTGGCATTCAGCCTTCGTAATGTTGTTAGAACTCACTGTATAGAGTCTATTGAGAGGTATTTGGGCTTGTGAAAATGCGCGGATAGCGAGAAATCGGCCCGAAACAGACAGCGACTTGAGAGAATTTTATTTTTCGGTGGGCCACCCGTAAACAAAGACCCAAACGTCTCCTACTCATTTTTTTTTGCCCTGTAGAAAACAGTGGATGATGACTTCTTTGTTCTACCAATAAATGTATACATGTACAATCTTTATATTAAATTTTAATTATGCAAATTAATGTTGTGTAACACATGTGCTGATTTCTATAATTATATGCCTCAGTATCCTATCACTCTTTCTATATTATGTCTGTGGTAACGCTGCATCTAAAACAAAGTGCTTTTTTGTGCTATTTAAAACTGATACATTTATCAATTTTCTGTTTCTGGTAATAATAATAATATTTTTATTGCATCCTTGACCATGCAATTTTGAATACAGAATAGAAAAATAAATTGATAAAATTATGAATTTTATAAGATAATAGCATAATGCAAAATTGCACTTTTTAATTAAACTTAATTGTTATTGTTTGTTTATTCAAAAATATGAATGCGACTGTATAATGACTTTATAGAATCCACACCTTTGGCAAATGTAAGTACATTATATCCTCTATAAGTACCGCATCTGCAATTAGAAGTGTATGTAAGACAACACTTGTATTTTCGGTATACTGGTTTATTAAAATATGACTTATTTTATCCATAGACACACCTCTATTTATGTTTATGTGCTTCAAATAGAACAAACACAGTACACTATTTAAAATTTTGTTTATCAATTTAATTTATTTTTGTTTTGTCTGTTTCTACAAGGTAATGTCAAGTTTACTTAGTTTCTCTAAGTACATGTCTATGTTACATGCATACACTGTCAGTGACATGTTATCAATACGTGATGCCGAGCTATGTATACACGAATGATGAATCTGAAGTCTGAAGTCCCACCACTTGTAGCACACATTTTTATCATTCAAAATAAACAGTAATGATGTTGTTTAACTACCGGGTATATTGAGAGCGAAAAATTAAATAAGCTTTGAAAAAAAATGTCATCACCACAACAAGAAATGTTTAGCGAGTCCAAGAAAGAAGGAGCATTAAGGAGATTGTCTGAAGAAAAAGTGGAACCTCCATATAAAAAACAGCGAACGTCGACCAGTGCAGATCGTCAAGATGAAAGTGAAGAGGATGATCAAAGAAAACTGGAGTTGGCAATACAGCCTGAGAACTACCAATTTCAACAACTTGGGAAAGGATTTTTACATCAGCATGGTGATTTAAAACAACTGAGTGATGAAAGTGAGTGGTATTTATGGGGACCGTATCTGTCTGAACGACAATGGGGAACAGTACGCGAAGATTATTCCAGTGATGGAAACTGGTGAATATACTACTTTGATTTCACTCAAGGCCAATTTTCATGAAAATACTGTAAAATCTGTGTTAGAAGCTGCGGCTTCTATTAAAATAGTACAATGCAACAGAGAGGATGTGGCTTCTATTAGAGCATCTACACATATCATATTGGTGAATGTTTGGTTCTCAATTATTCAAAAAGAATGGGTGCAACTTCTATTAGGGATGCGGCTTCTAATACAGATTTTATGGCTAACTTTGTAGCAGTCAAAATTGTGTCTATTTTTCAAACACGAAAAATGACATACTGTCGATTAGGAATGGAATTTTCAAATAATTCCTATCGATGTGATTAACTCAAAAGCTTGACGTCAATGATGTCCATCATAAACCTGCAAACTGCACACACATTATTTTGTTGTTCGTGCCTAAAGCCGTCAAAAAAGTACAGTAAGTACGCTAGAACATTTGTTTGCGTTGGTTCTTTTGGAGGTGGCTGGGTCTCTGTAAACCAAGACATAGGAAAATTTTGAATTTGTTTTATTTACTCAGCTGGAAATACTTTACGCACAATGAAGCTCACCAACGTGCATACCAGTGGGGAGAAGATGGACTATTTGGAGTGTGCGATAAAGAGGCAAGGTTATGTTGTGCACTATCGTTATGGAACGGACAAGACCCTATGTTGAAGGAAAGACTGTATGGATTAACTGGACTAATGGTAAGTCTGGAAAAACACAGAACTTTATTGCAGTGAGTGAACATTTCGTTGTGTGATCCTTTGAAACAAGGAGTCACGGTGACTTTCACAAAATTTAGTTTTCAAGTGTTTTCTTAAATTTCATCCCAACACTGAGTGACCAAATATTGAATCTGAGAGATACAATCTTGGCGAGTTATACTGACGTATTGTGCCATTTATGCCATTAACTAAGTAAATTATTGTTTCACTACATTAAATCTAGTCCAATGCAAATAACGTAGAATGTATGTAATTTTTAAAGTTCAATCAGACTTCAGTGTTTAGATGTACAAGTATCTGAGTCTCCCGCAGTTGAGTATGGAAAATGTTTAATTGTTCTATGTTAGGCAAACGCATACTGGCTCACAGAAATGGCAGATGCAATAGTCCATATGCTCAAAATATTTAAGATATAGATGCAGGTTCGTGGGCACTTGGGAGTGAATTTTGTTTTGTTTTTTTTTTGCTTTTATTTATCCAAACAGTCTTGGCTATAGTCTGTTAAAATTTCACAGCATTGTGAATAGTGGAATATACTCAAAAGACGATTTTAAAATATAGAAAACAGGTACAAACATTCTAGCTTTTGAAAGCTTAGCAAGATTTGGCAAGGCTGTACACAAATAATCAATAAGTAATATTTTAAGGATTGAACATGTATAAAGCAACAGTAATCAATCATTATGTATGTCTTTCACTGCAGGGTAACCATGGTGAAGATGTGAAGGAGTGTTACTATTACCTTGACAACACACCAACACATTCTTACATGAAGGCGCTGTATAAGTATCCGCAGAACGAATTTCCATATTTGGAGTTGGAGAAAGAGACAGCTTCAAGAACTGTGAAAGATCCTGAATATGAATTGGAGGATACAGGTAGGTCACATGACTACAGTATAGGTGGGCTTAGTGCAGGAGTAGAAGTCGATGGATGAAATATAGATTTCTCCGATTAATTTTTATTAATTATCTGATAATTCTATGAGGTTATTGCCTGATATCACTTGGGTGTAAAGCTAGTTGATACGAGTGATGTCATAGGTTTGTGTAGTACAGCCCATGACACCACAAATAATTGTTAAACCGTTTAATTTTTGCTGCTGAAAATTGTTACGATTTGATGATTTTAAGGCATTTATGAAAACAAATTTTCTCAAAAGTCATTGACACTTGGTCTTGTTGGACCCAAGACAAATTTTCACTGACTCTTGAAATTTGCGTTTGTCTAAAGAAAAAGCAGTTTACAGTATATCAAATGGTTCTATGAGTAAGATTCTGAGTATGAAAAAGATTAATCGTAATATAATTTTAAGCTAATTTATGCTAATTAGTCTGACATTAGATCAAGTGCTTCGGTTGTTGCGCATTCAAAGTTATGGCAACCAATGGTGTTTAATAATCAGCAGAAATATAAACTGTATCTTATTTACTGTAAAATACTTTATTTGGAATTAATTTTCGCTGAAAAGACTTTTCGGGTGTTTTGTATGGAATTTAATTATCACTGATTTTTGGCAAGTTGAATGTAAAATATAAGAAAAAAGGTATATTCACTGGATTTTATTTTCACTGAATCACTCCTTCAGCAAAAATAGCGAAAATTAATTTCAAGTATTTCAAAGTAATTAATAGGGATATTTTCTGTCTGCTTTATTATGAGTAATTTCAGGTAATTGTTTGAAAACAATAAAATGAGTAGTAGCATAAATATCATAACAATTACTGTACCATGATATTTTCAAAATGATGTCATATATTGGAACAGCGCCCTCTGTGCCAAATGCTGTATTTCCTTAAAAATATGAGATTATTCCAGTAGCTTTAAGCCTGTCCGAAACCTGTATAATCTTACTATAGATAATGTCTGTTAATTCTAGGTGTCTTTGATGATAGCAAATATTGGGATGTGGAAGTAGAGTATTTCAAAGATACTCCACGTACAATTCTGTGTCAGTACACTATATCCAACAGAGGATGTGACCGTGCCACGATTCATGTACTTCCCACCATCTGGTTTAGGTGAGAAAATATATAATTTATAGAGAGAAGTAGCGATCACGTTGTTATACGTCACTGGTACGACTCTTGAATGATATGGAGTTCGCTGAGAATATGCTAATGGAATATAATTAAGCAAAACATCCTGTTAGTTAGGGCAGTCTTAATTAATTTTTGTTTATGGTTCTGTGATGTTCTAAAAAAAAATCTCTTTCATTTTTACAATTTGCAAAAACTAAAGAAAAGATGTGATGCATTAATTCCAAGTGAAAATAAAGTTATGCTGAAAGGGTAAAACTCTAAATTACAATAGAATAAAATTGCTGTTCTATTGAAATGATTATTTCAGGAATACCTGGAGCTGGGGAAATGATTTTGTTGATAACACAGAGAAGAAACCGTATATTAGGAAGGTAGCTAATTGTAATAAAGTAGTATGTAACCATGGTGATTTAGGTATGTAATAGATTATAATATCAAGTGTTCGAGTTACATTCACTCATGAATATTCATTAGATTTGGACAAATAGTAAACGAAAAATTGATACAGTAAATCTTGTATTAGTTACTACCTGTATATAAGGACCACTTGCCCCTTTTGACCACCTTTGGGT